GCACCTCGTGCACAGTTTCATCTTGTGCACGCGAAAACCACCAGCGGCACCCACCAAAATGAGGCTATAGAGCCACATACAATAGTAATTATTGCCTAAAATTCTACTGTAACAGTCTACTAAGATCTACAGTGCTTGCCTTGTTCCCACTTCTTATTTAGACGTGTGGTGCGGCCGCTGTAGGTGGTAACTGTTAGAGGTGTTGGGGAAGGTGACACCTTAACTACAACGCGAGTAGCACCACGCGCACGCTGTTTCTTGGCTGCCAACTCTTTAGGAGGCTTCTGTAAGGCCTGTAACAGAGTAGGCGCCCTGCCCTCGAAATCAATACTACGTGACTTCTCTGCCTATACCAAAAGGTAAGCACAAGAATACTTAAGCAAGTATTCGTTGCGTAGTATAATATATATAGACAATAATAGTGCTAGCCAGCTAGCTTTGCCTCTAGCTGCTATAAGCGCTATGCCACGTGTCGTGTTCGTGCATAGTCGTTACATGGCCTTGCGCTTGCCTGTTTAGGGTAATTAGACAGATTTAAGTGTGTTGCGCTCCTGTTTCTTTTGTTGTTTCTTAGCCTGTTTAGCAGCCTTCCTCTTAGCCTTCTCCTCCTTTGCCATTGCTTAACGCTCGCTTTTCTCCTCCTTCTCCCGCTTATTCTGTGCCTTCTTCTTAGCCTACTCAGTCTTCTTGCGAAGCTTTGCAGCAGTCTCCTTAGCCTAGGCGCGAGCGTTAAGACGCAGTTAATGCTGGGCCTTAACTACCTTTGTTAGAGACTAGAACATTGCAGTAGAAGTATAGGACTTAGAGGCCTGCAACAGCAGGGCTTAGCAGTGTTTCTAAGAGGTCTTCTTAGTGTTAATTTAGGTATAGAGGCCTTTATTTTCTACCTTAAGAAGTGTGTTGTGAGTGTAAAGAAAGTAGGGGAAGGACTAGACTACTTTCTTCCTAGTCTAGAAGGACCTAGACAAATCTAGACTAGCTTTGTCTAAATAGGAAGCGTATAGCCTAGGCTGGCGGATGGGTAGGGTATGCTTTTTTACGTTTTGGCTTATAGCTTCTTAACTAGCAGAGATACGCTTACATAATCTATTATTCAATAGAAGCGCCTAGTATTGCGCCTTCTAATAAAAAAAGAATTAGCTCATTCCGCCTAGTATTAGCTGAGTTATTAACACTACCTAGCAAAGTATACCTATTAATGGGTATGCTCGCTAGGTACCCCCCCTTTTTTAACCTTTTCTAGCCTCTAGCTTGTGCAGTGTAATAGTTATAACAAAACCCTCTACTACAGAAATGTAGAGAAAGTTTTTCTCTTTCTTTTAAGACCTATTTTGCTAGAATCCATGTATTATTGACAAAGTTTTGGGGGGTACCCACGAAGGACGTTGGAGTATACCCATTCCGCCAGCCTAGTATAGCCTAATAGAGGTAAGGCAGGGTTATGTAATATAATAGACAATTTATTATATTAGATACTAGGTAGAGATTCCTAGGCTAGGTACAGAGCAAACAGAGAGGGGAGAGCTAGAGGTATTTATGCTTCCTCTCCTCTGTCTGTATTTCTAGGCAGAACGTTCTAGACTCCTCTAGGTAGGTCTACTTAGTAATCTATGCTTAATATTGCTGCATATGCAAGCAAGATTACGTAGGTGCATGCGTAATTGTATACGTTAGCATCTTACAGAGTAGGCTACTCTATTTGTAAGCAGAGGGTCTAGAACATTTCTAGTTACTAAAATAGAGAACAGCATATCTTAAGAACAAGAGGAGATACAGGCTTCGTAAGCACACCATTCTAATCCTCTCTCTTAGGAGATTATGATGACAATGCTTAGGTAAGCATAGCGCTATACCTAAGAAGGAAATATGCTAGAGAAAGATTATAAGAACAAAGTCTTATAACTTTACAGTGAGCTGCTAAGTAGTTAAATGTGTGTACTAGCTTCCTTGCCTTATAACTTGTGTGATCCTTTACTATTACCTTACAAAACCGTTTAATTGCAAGCTAATTAATATTAACGTATTCCACCACCCAACAGCTCAAACCACCCAACAGCTCAAAATGTCTTGGCACAACCAACACTAGTTACAAATTTCTATTTTTATTGCTATTATACAAGGAGCCTGCGTACGCTGTACTAACCTCTAATTTAGAAGTCTCCTCTATATCCTTTTTACACGTTTGCGCGTTGTGCCTAGTCTTGCTGCAGTTCCCACAGCGCTGTAAAGCTGGTTAGGCTCTCTCTTGATCACCGCCACGACGAGCCTTCTTCGACCGCTCAGCGGCTATAGAGGCCTCTGCGGCCACCTGGGCTGCTGCCTCACCATACTCCATTGTGCCGCCATGCTGGATCCGCTTCCTTTTGCGCGATTTCCTTTTGGTCATCACTGCTAATTGCTCTTCAAGCTCAGTAATCCGGGCTGCTTGAAGCGCGTTCTGATACAGCATAAGCTCGCCGCCTCTAATAAGCTGAGAGAAGCCTGCCTGCGCAGTAATAGGAGAACAAGTAAAGGACTCGCGTACAAGCTTTAATTGCAATCTAAACTTATGTGTATTGCTTAGAGTCTTTAACTGCCACAGCGTCTCTAGGAGGAGGGGTTCTAGTAGGGTACGTAGCTGCACTTTAAGGTAATCTAATACAACCTGCGTGTTAAGAGGGACAAGTCCTAATACCTTAAAGGCCTTATAACAGATTACCTCTGTAAATATATTACAAAACGCGTCTTTAAAGGCTGGTAGGAAGCCTTCTTTGTTAATATAGAAGACACGCTTGTGTGCTAAGTCTTGTACGCGCTAAGAGTACTTGCGCTTTAATAGCAAGAAGCAGACTACATTAAGTGGCTAGAGGATGTGCAACAAGTAAGGTAGTATGTAGAGGGTGAGGATCTTATGTTTAAGGCAGTAGTCCTTGAAATCCTAGTTAAGGTGGCTCTTATGGCCGTCTAAAATAAGCAGCCTGTACGCCCCTACCTAGCCCGCCTTTGTATGCGCGTTAAAGTGCTTCAACCACTCTAGACTAAGCGCATTGTTCGTCCAGCTGTTCTGAGAGACTAAGAGCTTCTAATTGCGCAGTATATCTGCCTCCTTGTACTAGGCAGAGATGTGAACGCGTCCTTTGTAGATAATAAAAGGCAGGGTACAAGATCTAGCAGCGCAGACGCTCTAGATGACTGTTACCCACTCGCAATTACCTAGCTGAACGAGCTCAGGCCAAGTACGCCTCTCTGCGCCTGTGACAACCTTTATTAAGCTAATAACACCTATCTAGAAGCTAGTCTTGTTAAAGTTGTGCACGTTGTAGTTGTGTACGCTGTACTTAGCTCTAGTGTCCTCTACCAGCTTAAACCACGCGCTAATTGTCTCTGGATCCTCCTGCAGTATCCTCTGCCTATCTTTAGCTCGATTGAAGGCCATCTTAAGCTCAGCTGAGCGCGTTACAAAGCGCTCAGCCCAGTGCTTGCCAACCAGCTGCCCACCGCGTACACCCAACACTTTATCAGCCATATCTGCTACCTCGCACAGCCAGGGCGCGAATCCTTGCGAATCCAGGTTAAGGATATATTAGATAATTGTTTGCTCTTCTGTAAGCGTAAGTTTGCAGCTGTTAGGTGCTTATTTAAGGATAAACAGGGCTCCTCTAACACATGCAGAGAGAATGTGCTGTTTAACATTAAAAGCGCGCGCAGCTACTCTCTAGCTTTTAAATTGTTTTAAATAAAGAGCTTTAAGGGCAAGGTTAACTCTACCTTTGTGTTCACGTAGTAACATGTTATGTGGTTAAGGCATGTTGCAACAAAGAGGGTGTTTGTTGTGCCAAGACATTTTGAGCTGTTGGGTGGTTTGAGCTGTTGGGTGGTGGAATACGTTAGTTCTAACTAGTAGAGAATACTAAAGCTAAGTATAGTATACAAGATAAAGACACCTACAACTTTAACAAGTCTAGCTTTATAATAGGCGTTATATTAACAGGAGCTGTTGTCACAGGCTCTGAGCGTTGAGGGAGACCAAAGGCAGTGCAGCAGGGCGACTGAGAGTGGACTAGCATTATCCAAGGCATCTGCGCGAAGGGCTAGTCTATCCCACCCTTCATTATCTTCTCTAGCAAGCACCACCTCTCTACCTAGTACAAGGAGCCTAGTATACCTAACAACTAGGTTCTTAATGTCTCTAACAATAGCTAGACTAACAACAAGCTTAGAGTTAAGTGGTTGAAGCACTTTAATAAGCACACAAAGGCGCGCACTGTTGGCAGCTATTAGCTGCTTATTCTAGACGGCCATGAGAGCCACAACTTAGTTGAATTCCACCAGTACTGCGAGGAACACAAGATTATTACCCTGTGTATGCCTCCACACTCGTCGCACCTACTGCAGCCACTTGACGTGGGCTGTTTTTCTCTGTTAAAGAAGGCCTATGGCCGCCAAGCCAAGCAGCTAATGCGTAGCAAGATCACGCGTATTACCAAACTTGAGTTCTTGCCATGCTTTAAAGCGGCTTTTGACGCCTCAATTACAGAGAGTAACATCTAGGGAGGATTTAGAGGTGCTAGCCTAGTCCTATTTAACCTAGAAGCTGTGATATCAAAGCTTAAAGTACAGCTGCACACGCTAACGCCACCTACTATAGACAACAGTACGTAGGAGTCTAAAATACTAAGCAATACGCTAGAATTTAGGTCTTAATTAAAGCTAATTTAAGAGAGGATTTATAGACACGCTAATAGCTTGCCAACGTCTATAGTTAACGCTCTTAATTAGCTCACTAAAGGCGCAGAGCTAATGGCGCATTTACTAGTTTTAGTGCGCAACTAGGTCGCTGACCTACAGGCAGCCAACAAGGCTGCTACACGTTGTAAATCACACAAAAGGAAGCAAGTACAGCGAGAGGGGACTCTAACCTTTGCTAAGGGAGTGTGGCTAACTACTCTAAACGAGTTTGAGGCCCGTAGTGATGGAAGAAGGCAAAGAAGAGGTTGCGCGTTGATGGGAGCACTCAGTCTTTAAGGCGCTGTGGCACATGTAGCGAGACAGGGCACAACGCGCGAACATGTAGTAAACATGCGCAGAGTACTATAGACTAGTTCTATATACTGTAACGTACTCCACAAGCGAGTGGCTCACACAAGCGAGTGGCTCACTTTTGCCAAGACCACACCAAACTTCACTCTACCTACAATGCCTCAACGTAACAACACAATCAAACCCTCAAAGGAAGCAGGAATACAGCTTGCTCTTCAGGCTATCTATCAAGACGCGACACTCTCTCAGCGACGCGCTGCAGCCATCTATAACGTGTCTTAAAGGACACTTAGTCACTAACTTGCTAGAACCTCTCCACGACGCGATTGCAAGCCTAACATGATTAAGATAACTAGCACTGAAGAGGAGGTAATTGTCCAGCACGTGTTAAGGCTGGATGAGCGAGGATTCTCACCCCAACTCACTAATGTGGAGGGTATAGCCAATTCTCTGCTTGCTGAGCGCCACTAGACCCCTGTTGGCAAGAACTAGGCTGCCAACTTTGTTAAACGTCGGCTAGAGCTTAAAGTCAAGTTCAATCGCAAGTACAACTACAAGAGAGCGCTGTGTGAGGATCCTAAGGTTATTAGTGACTAGTTCTAGCTTGTAGAGAATACTAAAGCTAAGTATAGTATCCTAGATGAAGACACCCACAACTTTGATAAATCTGGCTTTATGATGGGCGTTATATCCACTGGTGCTGTTGTCACAGGCTCTGAGCGTTTAGGGAGACCAAAGACAGTGCAGCAGGGCGACCAAGAGTGGACTAGCATTATCCAAGGCATCTGCGCAAAGGGCTGGTCTATCCCACCCTTCATTATCCTCTCTAGCAAGCACCACCTCTCAGCCTGGTACAAGGAGCCTAGTATACCTAACAACTAGGTTATTAGTGTCTCTAACAACAGCTAGACTAACAATAAGCTTAGAGTTAAGTGGTTAAAGCACTTTAATAAGCACACAAAGGCGCGCACTGTTGGCAGCTACTAACTGCTTGTTCTAGACGGCCACAAGAGCCACAACTCAGTCAAATTCCACCAGTACTGTGAGGAGCACAAGATTATCACTCTGTGTATGCCCCTACACTCATCCCATCTGCTACAGCCGCTTGACGTGGGTTGTTTCTCCCCATTAAAGAAGGCCTATGGCCGCCAAGCCGAGCAGCTGATGCGGAGCAAGATCACTCACATCACTAAACTTGAGTTCTTGCCGTGCTTTAAAGCTGCTTTTGATACTTCAATTACTAAGAGTAACATCTAGGGAGGATTCAGAGGCGCTGGCCTGGTCCTGTTTGACCTAGAGGCTGTGATATCAAAGCTTGAAGTACAGCTACGCACGCTAACGCCACCTATTATAGACAACAGCA